ATACAGATTGAATAAGTATGGGAAAAGGATACAACCCTGACACACTCCCTTCTTGATTTTAAACCATGTAGTGTCCCCTTGTTCCGTTCAAACGACAGCCTCCTGGTCAAGGTACAGGTTCCTCATGAGTACAGTCAAGTGTTCGGGAATTCCCATTCTTCTCAATGTTATCCATAATTTATCATGATCCACATAATCAAATGCCTTTGCCTAGTCAATAAAACACAAGTAAATGTCTTTCTGGTATTCTTTGCCTTAAGCCAAGATCCATCTGACAGCAGCTATGATATCCCTTGTTCTACGTCCTCTTCTGAATCCAGCTTGCACCTCTGGAAGTTCTCTGTCAATATACTGCTGCAAACGTTCTTGAATTATCTTCAGTAAGATCTTACTTGCATGCGATATTAATGATATTGTTCTATAATTTCCACAATCTGTGGGATCACCTTTCTTTGGAATAACTTTGGAAATATGATCTTGAATATATCCCTCCTGAATTTAGAGATCAACCTATGCTCAGGGTTTTTGACAAAGGGCTGAAATCCATTACATGGGAAGAGATGGTCTCTTTAACAAACAGTGCTGGCAAAACTGGACATCCATTTGCAGAAAATGAAACAAGATCTGTACCTCATACCATCCACAAAAACTAACTCCAGAATGGATCAAAGACTTCAATGTGAAACTTAAAACTATGAAGTTCATAAAGAAAAAATAGGGGCAAATTTAGGGGCCCTAATTTATGGCATAAATAGACTGTCAAGCATAACCCAAAATGCAAAAAAAAACCAAAAAAAACAGAAGATAAGCTAGATGAATGGGACCTTCTAAAAATTAAATTTTTATGTGCTTCCAAAGACTTCTCTAAACAAGTAAAAAGAGAACCTACAGAGTGGGAAAAAATATTTGGCTACAACATATGACAAGGGCCATATCTCTAAAATTTATAGAAAACTTCCACACCTCAACAACAAAAAGACAAATGATTCAATTAAAAAATGGACAGAAGACATAAAGAGACACTTCACCAAAGAGGATATCCAGAGTGCCAACAAACACATGAAGAAATGTTCATGATCATTGTTGTTGTTACTGTTGTTATATGCCGTGGAGTCAGACCCGACTCATAGCGACCCCTCCTCGGGTTTCCGAGGCAGTATCACTACGGAAGTAGATTGCCCAAACTTCCTTCCAAGGAGTGGCTGGTGGGTTTGAACCGCCATCCTTCTGGTTAGCAGTCAAATGCCTTAGGCACTATGCTACCAAACCAACTGCCATCGAGTCAATTCCAATTCTTAGTGTCCCCCACTGGGTTTCTAAGGCAGTAAATCTTTACGGAAGTAGATCGCCCAGTCATGCTCCCGTAGACTGGCTGGTGGGGTTGAACCACCAACCTTCTGGTTAGCAGTCAGATGCCTTAGGCACTGTGCTACCAGAGCTCCTTAGCCATTAGAGAGATACAAATCAAAACAAGAATGAGGTGCCATCTGCCCCCAACACTAATAGTTCAACAAGACAGACAATAACAAATGTTGGCGAGGATGTAGAGAGATTGGGACTCTGCTGGTGGGACTATAAAATGATACAACCACTGTGGAAAGCAGTATGGCAATTCCTTAAAAATTTGGAATCAGAAATACCATTTGACTCATCTGTTCCATTACTAGGTATATATCCTAAAAAAGTGAGAGCCAGGACAAAAACAGATGTATGCACACCCATGTTGATTGCAGCACTATTTACAATAGCAGAGAGATGGAAACAACCTAGGTGCCCATCAACAGAAGAATGGATAACTGAACTATGGTACGTACACACAATGGAATACTATGCAACACTAAAGGCTAATGTAGAATCTGCAAAGCACCGCATAACATGGATGAACTTGGAGGACATTATGTTGAGTGAAATAAGTCAATCACAGAAGGACAAATATAGTATCAGTTCATTACTGTAAAAAAGTCAAGGAAAGGTTTATATATGGAAGGAATCTTTGTTGGTTACCAGGGGTGTGAGGGGAAGGGAGAAAACACAGCAAAAAAAAAAAAAAAAAGTGTTCTAAAGCAAAGATGTCACTTTGAGAACTCAGTGTTCCTACCCAAGCCATCCTATCTTCAATCACCCCATGTGTATGGGTTGGATTCCCACCCATGGTGACCCATGAACAGAGTAAAACTGCTCTGTCTGGTTTTCTTGGCTGTAATATTTACAGAAGCCAGCTGCCAGGGCTTTCTTCCACGGTACTGCTGGGTGCGTTCAAATCGCCATCCTTTAGGTAACTGTTGTTATGTGCCTTCCAGTCATCTCCCACTCATAGTGACCCCTTCTTGGGTTTCCGAGGCGGTATCTCTACGGAAGTAGATTGCTCAATCTTCCTTCCGAGGAGTGCTGGTGGGTTTGAACCACCAACCTTCTGGTTAGCAGTCAAGTGCCTTAGGCACTACACCAGTCAAGTGCCAACAATTTGTTCTGCCGCCCCCCCCCCCACACACACACACCCCATTGCCATGGAGTTGATTCTGACTCGTGGCAACTCTATAGAACAGAGTGCAACACAGAGTTCCAAGGCTGTAAATCTTTACTGGAGCAGGCTGCCAAATCTTTCTCCCGCAGAGTAGCTCCCTAGGTTCAAAGTGCCCACCTTAGAACAGGCAAATGACTTCAGCCTTCAGAAGCGTTTCCTTCTCCCTCCACCCGTTTCCCCCAACAGCAGAACCAACCTGCAGGAAAAAAGCGCCCAGGGGGCTCCCAGAGCCCTATCGCAGACCACGTAAGGGTGATGGCCTATCTGATTGGCTCCTGTTGGTCTGTACAGTGGACTGAATTTGGGATTGGGGTGGAACACACCCCTGGGTCGAATTCTTTCCAGACGAAGGCTACACAACCCATTGTTTTGCTGCAGCCTTTTTACCTTTGTGAATCCGGGAGACCTTGAACAGAGAAACGGAAAGCAAACAAGGCTGTTTGCCGTCAGGGTGGGGAGAGAAGGAATCGGGTTTCAAATACTTGGGCATTGTTTTTCTATTTATGAATTGACACTATGAGAAACGAGTTTACCAACTTTGAGGAGCTGATGTGCAATGTTTCACGGCTCGTTTGAGTCGTGGTTACAGCGGATGTATGCAGTCGCCCCAAACTCGTAGATTCACAAGCAGTCCAGCTGCACACTTCTAATCAGTGAGTTTTATTGTTGGTAAAGTATAGCTCAAAAAAAAAAAAAAGCCTATTAGGATAGGGAAAGATAAAATTGCTAAACGTCGTTCGCTACACAGTTCACCAAAACCCCGAGAGGGGAGGATCAAGTTAGCAGCCGACGTGCGAACAAGGGCCGCACGGTGCCGAGTGCGCCTCGGTGCACCCACGTCCTCGGCGTTTCGCCGGAGTGTCCCGCGGCCCGGAGGCGGGTCCCTTACCCAGCAGCAGGAAGGACAGGACCCACTTCAGCACTGCCGCCGTCTGCAGCCGCCGCTCCAGCGGAATGTTGAGCGGCGCAAACTCGATCTTCATGGCCCGGCCTGGGAGAGGACTTTGCGGACCGTACTGCCTGGAACCCTCGTAGCTCCACTGCCCGGGCGGGAAGTGCGCGGTGGGACTTAGCCCAACGCTAGGCACCCACGGGGCGGAGAGGACAAGGGGGGGCTGGACTTCACCTTGGGTGAGAGGGCACGCTAGGGCTGAGGCTGGAGGCTGCCAATCACCGGCGCCAAGGCAGCCGCTGGCCCCGAGCGCCCCGGCCCCGGGGCAGCCAACCGGCGCGCCTGGGGCGCGTTGGCTGGCGCACCCGGGCGCCGACGAGAATGTGCCCGGTAGGGTATAAGGGACTGGGAAAGGGGTCACCTGGCGGCCGGCTGGAATGGAGCAGCGCGGTCTCTTAACCCCTCATTGGAACCCTTGGATCTCGACAAGGATCTGCCCATTATCAGCTGATCGGTGCACCAAGCTTGGCTTCAGCATCAGCACCGAAACCTCCCCCGGCCCCACTTCCTCCTGCTATCTGCGGCTGGGGATAAAGGAGCAGGATCTAGCCTCTCGGGGAGTCATGTACTCATCTATTTTTTGGGTTTTGGTCTCCATACCACCCACGAGCTCCGGGAGGGTGAGGATGTGGGCTCTTCAATCTTATGTCCCTTCCCCGAATCCTGGAAAGCTTTCGTTCATTCATTCAACAGACACTTCATGAGCATCTACCAGGTACTGGAAACCATTGTGGGCGATGGTGATGCAACAGGAACCCAAATCACCCATAGTCTCTCCTCTCAGAGAGTACAGGTTGGGGGCAGACAGACAGAAACCAAATAACTACACAACTGGATGTATAATTACAAAGTGAGATCCTAGATGAATGATTGGAAGCATGTTGTAGGACTTAAACTGCAGAGTCAGGGAAGTCTCTGAAGAACTGACCTTGACATGAGCTATGATGATAAATCTAGTTAACAGAAAGGCGTCCTTTGGGGGTAAAATGGCTTTGCTGCTAACCAAAATGTTGGAGGTTCGAGATCCCCTAGAGACACCTCAGAAGAAAGGCCTGGTGATCTGCTTCCAAAAACCCAGCCATTGAAAACCTCGTGGTGGATGAGTTCTGCTCTGAGACACCTGACAGTGACTGCTTTTGGAATTTATTTAGGGAATCATCCAGGCAAAGGGGAACACCAGTGCACAAGCCCTGTGGCAGGACCTCAAAGACCAGTATGAAGGGAGCTCAGGGAACATGGGAGAGATTGAAGTGAGATCAAGCAAAAATGATGGGCAAGGGTTGCATCCTACAGGGCCTTGCAGGCTAAGGGATACCCAGAATCCTGATCCTCATCACTTAGAGCTACCTGTGACGTAGGCGTTTGACTGCTAACCAGAAGGCCAGGGTTCAAACCTACCAGCCATTCCTCAGAAGGAAGACTAGGCAATCTACTTGCTTAGACGTACCACCTCAGAAATGGCAGTGAGTTTGGTTTTGGTGGCATAGTGCCTAAGGCATTAGACGGCTAACCAGAAGGCTGGTGGTTCAAACCCACCACCCACTCCTGGGAAGGAAGGTTGGGCAATCTACTTCTGTAGTGATACTGCCTCAGAAACCCAAGGAGGGGTCACTATGAGTTGGATCCGACTGGAAGGCAGTGAGTTTGAGCACTGTGTGCTAGGTTATTGGACTTAAATAATTATTGGAATTAAATGGGTAGAAGGTTTTATGAGGCTATTCAAAACAATTCTGCTGGGTGGATCTTGTTATCTCTAGAATGAAAACAAGCAAACAGAAACCTTAGGTATCTTTCCAAGCTACACATTCACAGAATAGCTTGTTAAATGATTGCCCAAGGCAACCCAGCCAGTTACTGCAGGGTGTGGACCTAGATCTCTTTACAGCCTTACAACCAACTGTGGACACTAAGAGCTAAAATCCAAGCCGGGGAAGCATTAGGGTGTAGGATAATGGTTTTTAAACTTGCATTTTAGATTTCTTTTTTCTTCATCCTCATGGAACTTCAATTTGTAAAACAGAGTGAAGCTGCTCTGGTTGAAAAGGATGGAGAACATGGCTCCTCCCCTTCGTAGCACCTTCCTCCTTCCCAGGGGGAGTATTTTTTGCAAAATGAAATCTCCATTAGTTACAGAACTGAGGGTTCAGAAAAACCCAGCATGGAAATTTGCTTATTTTGCACTTCATTTTTTGTGGGCAGCCCATTATTTGGGAGAAAAAGCTGGATTCTGAGTTGGAGCTCAAAATTGTAGATGATACATTAACATTAGTGAGCAGACACCACATAGCAGGTATAAGGCTTCATACTTTTCAGGGTGTGTCTGATCTAAATTTCCCAACAACCCTCAACTTATTCCTTTATCACTGAAGAATCTGCAAATACAGTCAAGCTGATAGCTCACCTTGTACACAGTAGAACCAGTTACTGTCATTTGAAAGTAGGTTTGTCTGTTTCCAGAGCCTGAGCAAGCTAAGCATCATAACCTTCTCTGTGCTGTTTCACAAATAAAATTACAAGGAAGGAAGGAGTGTTGTCAAGAGAGGAGTAAATCACTGAAGGGGGTACAGAAGAGTGCTGAGGACCAAAGTAGTCACAGTCTGGGTTGGGGTCAGTTAGCCATTCAATCAGCGATATTCATCAATCACATACTACATGCTGAGCATCAGGCATATACAGACATGCCTCATTTGATTGTGCTTCACTTTATTGCACTTTGCAGTTACTGCATGTTTTAAAATTGAAGGTTTGTGGCAACCCTAGGTCTGCACCATTTTTCCAACAGCATGTGCTTACTTCATGTCTCTGTGTCACATTTTGTTCTCGCAATACTGCAATTATTTTCATAATGCTCTTGCACACTTAATAGACTACCCACTAAACCCACTGCCACTGAGTCGACTCCAACTCATAGCGACCTCCACTGGGTTTCCAAGACTGAAAATCTTTACGGAAGTAGATTGACTCATCTTCCTCCTGTGAAGCAGCTGATGGGTTTGAACCGCTGACCTTCTGGTTAGCAGCCCAATGGCTTATCCACTAGGCCACCAGAGCTCTTTAATAGACTATAGTATAGTGTAAACATCACTTTTATATGTGCTGGGAGACCAAAAAAATTGTGGGACCCACTTTGTTGTGATGGTCTGAAATCAACCTGCAATATCTCTGAGTCACACCTGTATGAGTGAATACAAGAAGCCTAAGTTTATCGATTCAACAAAAAATTATTAAGCATCTCCTCTGGCAAGTCCTGAAGAGGGCTGGGGACACGAGAGGAAATCAACACCGTCCTATTTAAAGATCTGAGATTTTACCACCCACGTATGGTTCCCCTTTCTGCTTCTCAACTTTACTGAAGCAATAAGATTGGGAAAGTTCAGATTGCCTCATGGATTAGGAAATCCTGCCCTTGGAAATGAATAAATAAAAATTATTTCCATTTTATTTTTCCCTGTACATTTGATCACAGATAACTTCTCCTCACAAGAAGATGACAATGTTTTTCTGTGATATGGCATTTTACATGTTCCCATTGTCAATTTAAAAGAGAACAAAAATTGTTTCTAAACTGAGAGACCTTACGACACAGGTCACAGTTCTGACTTTCATAAGATGTATTAATTACCAGAAAAAATCTGTCTTGGAGGAAGTACTGCCAACATGTTTCTTAGAAGTGAGCGTGGTGAGATGTTGTCTCACTTACTTTTGATATGTCATCAGAAGGGACCAAATCATGGAGAAGGACATGTTTAGTGAAGTAGAGAGAGGGTCAGCAAAAAAAAAAGGAAGACCTTCAACAAGATAGATTGACAGAATGGCCGCAAAAACGGGCTCAAACATACCTACTACTGTGAGGATGGCACAAGACCAGGCATTACTTACTTAGGCCTTGGACTAATTACTAAATACCAATAGGATCAGTTGCTCACCTGTAAAATGAAGATAAAAATTACTTACCTCAGATGGCTTTGCAAATTCCAAGAGAAAGTCTGTGTGGACTTGGCACCTTGTGAACAGCTGATAAATATCAACTCTTTCGCAGCCTTTTCTGTCTCCTCCAGTACACTTTCTCTGCCTTCAGTCTGGGTGCTCCTCAGAGTTGGTCCCTGGTGATCTTCTCCTCAAGTGAACCCCTCAACTCCCACAATCACCTAAACACAGATGGCTCGCATTCTAATCTCCAGCCTCTCTGTGTGTGCGTATTTCATACTAGCTTTGAACAACTGCACCTGGATATCAAACATATATAATAAGTCAAAGGTGAACTTTCTTGTTGCCTGCAAAATTTGTTCTTGTGGACTCCCTATCCTTTCCAGTGTCACTGTCATCCAAGACGTCCAGCCTCAAAATACCGACCTAACTCCTTGTCTTGATTCTCTACTGCTGCTGTAACAGAAATACCACAAATGGATGACATTAACAAACAGGAATTTATTCTCTGTCTTGGAAGAAGTACAGTGGAATGCTCCTTAGAAGCAAGAGTGGCCAGACTTCATCTCTCATACTTTGGTCAGGTTATCAGAAGGGACCACTAATCTTTCCAAAATATCAAATATCCCATATCCCTGGAGAAGGATATCATGCTTGGCAAAGTAAAGGATCAGCAAATAAGGGAAAGACCCTCAGCAAGGTGGATTGACACAGTGGCTGCGATAATCAACGCAAGCATAACACGGATTGTGAGGATGGTGCAGGACTGGGCAGTGTTTCATTGTGTGGTACACAGGATCCACTATGAATCAGAACCAGTGTGACGACACCTAGCAAAACATGTGCAAGTCTGGGACCATTGGTAGCCTTGTTTCTTGCCACATGGAGAAAACGAATCTGCACTGACAGTAAATGACACTGAAACCAAGAGAGGAACATAGCAGAGAGAGACGCGACCAAAAAAAACCAAACCCACTGCTGCTAAGTCGATTCCAACTCCTAGCAACCTTGTAGGACAGACTAGAACTGCTGTATAGGGTTTCCATGGTTGCAAATCTTTACGAAAGCAGACTGCCATATCTTTCTCCATTGGAGTGGCTGGTG